CGAATGGGGCTTTGTGAGCACGGTGATGAAAAAGAGGAGAAACCGCATCCGAGCCCAGAACAGGAGGGACACATACAGGAAGCAGAACGCACTCTTCCATCTTTAACCTTAAGACGGTGTGTCTTTTTTGACACTTTGTTTAATTCGATGGGAGTTCTGTTTTAACCCCCCCCAACCCATCAAAAAAACTGGCAAATGTCCAAATCAGTTTGGACTATTTGACAGTGAAACAGAAATCAGGAAGCAATGTCATTACAAAGTCGATTTCACAGCAGTCCCTGAGATTCAAATCAAATCACAACCGGCTTGTAGAGCGGGCCCGGCTTACTGTAGTTGCTGTGGCGACTATAATGCTCAAATAATTACTAAAATACCTGCATAATTGTTCTGTTTGTATGCTATTGCACAGTTAGAGACCTTGCATGGGCCATGCACTTCTAATATGCAATAAGTGTATGAGAATAAAGTTAGAAATTAAATTAACCAATAGCATAATTGGTATTTCCCCCCAGATTTACTCTAAATATCACAATAATACCTTGAATATCTCTCACCATGACAGCTATAAAGAGAAAATCGGATATTGTGACCACCGTATACTAAATCGTGACTATTTTTTGTCAAATAATGGTACAAAATATGTGCTCCACCAATTTCATAGCAATTGGTGGAAAAAATATACATACAGGTGCTTAATAGATTCCCCCGCCAATCTGACTTAACGGAGTCACTATTTTACAACTCCCTACGGTGCTGCTTATCAAATGAATGAGTCTACAGTAAAATGAATGGAGATTAATGAACCTTTAGGGGGGAAAAAGAGAAATTCACAGGGGGATTGGCAAACAGAGGAGGGAAATAAATCAGCACCTACTTAAATGAATAACTGGACTATTAAATTTGAATAATAATACACACACACACACACACACACACACACTCAAAGCACAATGACGTGAATGAATCCATAATTACAGTTTTACACCTTTTTAGGTGCATTTCTATCTAAGTTACACTCATTTTGATATCATGCGTTATCGTGGGTAACATATCATGACAGTATTATGTGGTGAGTTAAGGAGCATTCCCACTGTGTCGCGCTCAGTGACTCGATTAATGTGCTGAACTGTTACATTGAAAGCATCTCTAGGAAACAATTCTTACAAAAAACGAATTTTAAGCCCTCTTTAAAACCTGAAACTCGAAATAAAATTCAATTTTTTGGAAAATGGAGTGTTTATTTAACTTTTTTGACAAATTAAACAAAAAAAAAAACAATATTAATTTGAATATTTTAGTTTTAATTGGTATCATATTTGCTACATCTGGCATCTTTGGTAATCGACTGCTAAAAATTGATTGTGCATCTTATTTTGGTTCTTCATGGTGGAAAAATAAACCACACTGATGATGTCGACGTCTCAAAAACACACAAAAACTGTATGTATCAAATGATACACTAGGCGTTAATGGGTTAAACAGGAAAGGCTGCTGCTTGGCTGACCAATTTACCATCGTGTGCATTTCGATTCAATAAAGACTACATGGATTTTTCCAAAAGGATATTCACCGTTTTATCAAATGAATAAAACGGTAATTACATTTTTTTTTAACCTTAAACAAACACGTTTCTTAAGGCAAACTGCTGCACTCATGTAAAATAACAACATCTAGGCTTTTAAATGCAAGGCCATGAAACAATACAATGAGGATCATGTATGAATTTAGAAAAAATAAATGTTCCCACAACAAATATGTGATTTCCAGAGGTCACCGTATATCCAGCTGTTTGCTACCCAATGCCAAAAACAACTTGCTCTTCAAACAATGCAGCAGCTAAATTAAATATTTACGGCCACTGGAAGGACGGGGCCGGCTTCCAGCATTTGTCGTGCTAGCTGTTGTTGTGCACACTTTCATTGCCGCGGTAAATTGAGGTCATATGTTTATAATTTGCCCTTTTCCTAATGCTGCCATTGGAGTAAAATAACATTTGAGAGCTGCAATCAGATTGAACAGTGCAATACTCCAGCTAATTAAGTCATATTTCAAGTTCAATAACAATCAAGCTGGACGGATAAAGGCCAGGGAGAGCGCGAGAGAGAGGGGCGAGTGTGCGGCGCGACAATCTGGAAGCTTTTACAATAGTCAGGCTATTGTTGAGGTAGAAGAGGAGTCCAAGTCTGTGCAAGAGACCAGCAGCAGGCTGGTTTTGATTGTTTCTGACTACTGTGTTAAATTAAGAGGGAGGAAAAAAAGAGCGTGGACATAGTGAGATGTGTGAGCCCAATGACAGATGCATTTTACTGATACACCTGAACTTGAACTGTGAGAAATAAAATAAGTGAAAATTGGCAAGTAAAGGCAAAGAGACAAGGAGAGTATACACAAGGCAGGAAGAGAGAAGCGAGGATCCAAATGCAGAAGTACAAACAGAAAAACGAGGAGTCCTTGTGCAGCACATGTGTAGAGCTTCATATAAACACAATGTGTGTGGCGCAGAATAGGAAACAAAACTGTCTTTCCTGGGTAAATCCAGCTCTAGGCGAAGTGGATTTCAGCTTTACACTCAACTACAAGCTGACATGTGCTCTTGCATGTACCTCCTCCAAGTGTGTCCTTCATCTTACCCTTCCCAGCCCCGGCTCGACTCTCCCCTACCGGGCTCAACGTGTGAACATCTCCTCCATTACTGCCCTTGACACTGTGGCCGATTGGATTCTTATCTGCCATCTGTAGGCCAACGCTCAGCTCGCGCTATCTCTCGTCACAGCCTAATTGAATCTCAAGTGTTGGAAGTGTAGTGATACACTGACCACACCGTGTCACTGCCAATAGATAAGGATTGCAGCTGGTGGGATTGGACCACCGCAAATCACGATGGGGACATGTTGATAAGGGGGGTGACGAGCGGTTTGGGTCACTACTGTGCGACTTTGCTTGGATTGAGAAATAATGGATACCCTCCATTACTGAGAAGCTTGTGTTCACATCCAATATCCAAGATCCCGTAATCCTGCTGTGCTCGCAGAGGTAATTTGTTGAAACTTAACCAAGAAAAGTAAGACATAGTGCTGCTTCTGTCCATCGATTCTTCTGTTTACAGGAGGGATGCACCTGATGTCTGTTTCCCTCACAGCTACAAAATGCACATCTGGTTTTAACCAGCAGGCAAACCTAAAAATAAAAGACTAGTAGAAAATAATACAGATGAAAATCAGCTCAATTTAAAGAGAACAATATAAGTAATGCTGCTTTCAGACGATGCTATAGCTTGAGCTTTAGGAGTAGTTATCTGGTTTGTTCTAGCTGTTAATTTTCTTTTAAAATATTTGATTTAAAAAAAAATCAAAGCAAAGCCTTTTAAATGGTTTTGTTTCAGCTAAAGCTGCAATGATAATACTATTATTATAGAGTTGGGCTAATGCTAACTGGTGATCACTGAACATTTTCCCTCCTCATCTTTTTTTTTTCCAGTAATTTTGCATTTTGCTAGGGTCAGTGTCCCTCCTGGTACCATGAGCTGATGCATAGGACCCTACAGAGGTTGCACAGATAGTCCAACTCCTCCAGCATGGCACATCAATATGTGCCATTGTCAGAAGGTTTGCTCCGTCTCCCAGCACAGTCTGTAAGCGCTGGAAAGGGCCGTAAAAGGCCCATCAGCAGGACTAGTATCTGCTTCTTTTTGCAAGGAGGAACAGGACGAGCACTACCAGAGCTACAAAATGACCTCCAGCAGGATGCTCGTGTGAATTTTTCTGACCAAACAATCAGAAACAGACTTCATGAGATTGGCCTGACGTCCTTCTAGTCGTCCCTTTGCTCGCTGTCCAGCACCGTGGGGCCTGATTCGAATTTTCCATAGAATACCAGAATAGGCAGGTCACTGACTGACACCCTGTGCTTTTCACAGATGAGTGCTGGTTCACCCTGAACACATGTGACAGACGTGAAAGCTGCCCGTAAGAATAAGTGATGGTCTGGGGAGATACAGACCTGTATAGACGTCAACTGATCATCTCTGGGACATGTTTGTGTCCATCCGACACCATTAGAGTCTACCAGGAGCTCTGAGATCCCCCAGTACACTATCTGCCGTGTCATTAGGACCATGCCCCTTGTCAGGCACGCATACAAGCACGCGGAGGCCATACAAACTACTGAGCACCATTTTGAGTTGCTGCAAAGAAATTGCAATGAAACTTAGTCTGCTGCATCATCTTTTCACTTTGAGTTTTGCCGTGTCTTTGAATTCAGCCCTCTGTAGGTTGATAGTTTTCATTGCCATCAAACAATGTGGCATCCTTTCACTCCTGACACATTACCCAATCCATCAGCGCAGATCCCCAGCATGACTTCGTTTCATTGAGATCCGATATGTTTTCAAAGTGTTCCTTTAATTTTTTGAACAGTGTATATACAAAAGGCAGCACATTCCCCAATTTGATTGCAATGGGTTAATAAAATAAAAATGAAAAATTAATATGTCTCTGTTTAATTACTTAGAAATGTAATTAAACTTGGAAAACCAGAATAAAAGCATATTACACTGGCTCGGTTTGTGCTTCTAGGATCCATTAATGTTCCCATCAGTGGTTTATAGGACACTTATTACCACCGTGCCAATTAACATGCTTCACTCCTGCCAGGACACGCATGAAGAGATAAAGCTAATGTCAGCACCTTATTTGACTCTGGAACTGTAATTGCAGAAATACAAAATGTTTCGTTTAAAAGTGTCAGCTATTGCCTCAAGTGGAAAGAAGTTAATTTGTGAGTGCTATTCAATCCATCTGCAGTCAGCCAGCGACCAGCAACAGGGCTCATGTACATATTTAACTAACGTTTACATCCTCATTAGGTTCTATTTGTCAGAAAGTCCATGTCAAGTCATTTTTGTTGATGACGGGAGCTTTCAACTGGGGAAGCCAACAAGTTACAAACTAGTTAAACATCAATTGGGGATGTTAAGTATTCGGACCTGAAGATCTCCTTACCTTAAGATGCCAAATCCTTTCTTTTTGGTCTTCTTCTCTGTGTCCTCCACAGAATCCAGTGACTTCTTCCTCCCTTTGGTCTTCTTCTCCTTCTTCTTCCTTTCATCCTTCTTCTTCTTCTTCTTCTTTCCATCGTCTGCATCCAGATCCTGGCGAGACGAGCTGCTGGCGGGCGTTTCGTGACCGGAGCTGTGCTCTGACATGTCGTCGTCTGATGAGGGAAAACAATTCCCACGGATAGGATAGGTTGGAGGGCAGAGGTCAGAGTAGATGCACAGACAACAATGGAATATGTACTCATAGATATAGCTCCGAGCATTACAGGCAGCCTTTGTTCTTATGCAAGCCCCTCAGGTGTAGCAAGATACCAGGAACACAGATTTGAGGGTTTTTTGGGTTGTTTTTAGTTTTATCTTTTGCAGCGTTGACTGTGTGCCTAAAAAAACCCTCAAATCGTAACTTTTGTCCACACTCCAGGATTTAATTTCCTCATATGTTTAATCGCACACATCCCTCATCCCACACGTATGTGTGGTCACAATTTAGAGCATTAAAAATATGCTGCTGTAAGACATAAAGTTGTTCTTTCCAAATTGCTGAGTGGATAAAATCATGTAGCATTTCATTAAGGTACTTAGGCTAAGCACTGTACCTTGGCAGGCCTCTGGCTCTTTTTTGAGTGCCAGTGTGTTATAAAGCTTAAAGGATGTGCACTGGCAGCGTAGCCTCTCATTTAAATGGGTACAGTGTCTAGGAAGGAATCCCAGTCGTGCATTAAAAGGGAACATTCCTTACAGTGGGCAGTTTTGTTGTGTCTGCTTCTTGTTTTTCGAAAAGATTTTTGGTAGTAGCAGTTCGACATGTCTGCTTTTCTCCTGGGGTCTTACCGTCTTCAGAAGGTCCGTCATACGACTTGTCAATGGCGATGCGGAAACTCTGGTTGCATCCCCGCCCCCGGACCATGTGCGGCCGTGGGCGATGAAAGGGCACGTGGTCTTGGATGTGACTCTGCTTCGCCTCAGACATGGCCGTCTGCAGGCTCTCCAGGGAGCTGGACTTCATGAGGCCCAGGGTGGGGCCGAGTGCTCCTCCATCTGAAGGCTCTACGAGACAGAAAGACACTCCGCCATGACTAATTCATCCCAAAGCTAACTTCACCATTTTCCACTATTCCAGCACATAAAACAGAGGAGGAAATCCAATGAAGAGTATAAAAGAAGCCTGGCTGATGGATGGAGGATGGAGGTTTGCTTAAATTTAGAGACGCAGCCACTGCTAAATTGACACAAAGACTTTATTCAGATCACAAGCTTTTAGGATAAACTAACCCACCGCTTGCAAAACATTAAACTTGAACCCATCTCCTCAAATAATATTTCCTTATTTAAGGAGCATCTGCATTAAACTTTTTAAACTCTCAGAGCTGGCTACAATTTAATTTGTCTTCAGTGTATGTAAGAATTGGTGCGGGGGCTGGGACTGCAAATTCCAGGATTTAGACGGTAATTTATCCATTAGTGTTGTTGCTTCTACAGGCAGTTATAATTTAGGTAATACAGAAATGGGTCTTTTGTAAGAGTTGACACTTAATTAGCTCATTATCTATGAATCACCAGGAAACATAATCAAGCTCAGTTTGCTATTATTACACTAAAATCACTGATTATTGAACTAACAACCACAGTAACCTTATGGTTCCTCCATATACAGTACAGTAACTACTTACTACTTAACATTACTTAACACTTGCTTCCAGAAAAATGCCTTTTTGGGGTATGCTTTAGGCTTTTTATGTATATCAGAGACTAAATGTAAATCCTGGAGAACATTCAAATCAACTAACACATAATAAAACTTCATTGTATGGCATGAAAGTTGGGAAATATGTAATGAAACTCAGAATGCATAGACTTAAACTAACAATACATAGAAAGAAATAATATTTTTCATGAAAAGCCATAGAGTCTGAATCTACTCGAAATAAAATTCATCATTTATGAAATGTCAGCTGGGATAGGCTCTAACCCTCCACAAGTATAAACTGAATAAGCGTTTAAGAAAGATGGATGGATCGAAGGAATGCTAGGAATGGTAATTTGCGGAATTAAATTTTAATAGCTGGAATAAAAGTCTTAATTTATAGCATAAAAATCAGAACGAAAGCCGGAATATATAATAGATTGACTGTGCAGGGTGCACCCTGCCTCCTACTCAATGTCAGCTGGGATAGACTCCAGCCCAGCGCCACTAACTAAGAAAAGTAGTTGGGAAAACAGATTGATTGAAGGAATGACACGGCAGCAATGGCGACTGATAGAATAAAGCCAGAATACATCAAATGAAAGATGGAAAATGTGGACTAAAATTGAAATTCATGGCATTAAAGTCATTATTTATGGAAGGAAAAAAAATCCTGCTCTTACAAACATTTTAAAGTCCAAATTGCATCACCTTAAAGATCATCCTCCTAAAACTTTCTCACATTATTATGCATAACCGTCCATACACATGCATAAACTTGTCTGGAAACTATGCCTAGCTCAAGGCCTGAAAATGTAAAAATCTCACATATACACGTGGATCACTCAGTATCAGCTCTCACACATTTTTCTGTTGACGTATAAGAGCTTTTTGGAATGAAGCTGAGAGCGGTTAAAGAGAGAAATATGAAGTCTTGTATATGAAATGTAGAGTGAAAGGTAAAGGAAGAGGAGAGCGTGAAAAACAGGCTTGACAGAAATGGGGAGAAAGTCGGAGTCCCGTATGAGCGACATAAAAGAAGGGGAGAAGAAACGATGAATGAGGTGAAACGGTACAGGCGCAGGTGAGGAGCGGTACTATGGGAACTGACAGGCTCATGCATAAGCAAGAGACAGGGGGGAATAAATGAACTGCCATCATACTGTACTCGGGGTATGGCCTCCAACTCGAGAGGAAGAAAGGGCTAGATGGAGGAGCAGGAGTGCAATGAAGGCCACAGCTGATTCAGCAAGGGGATCGGAGAGCAGGCGGGGGAGGAGGAGGAGGAGGTAGCGGGGAAATGCTGAAGATTTGAGGAAACACAGAGCTGTAAGGAAAAGAAGAAAAGAGTAAATGTCACTGAGAATAAAGTCAAAGACGCTTGTGACATTCAGGCTGTGGCAGGAAACTGCGGGACAGATGACCGAGAAGACGGCTGCTTCCAACCCCTAAAAGCAACTAACCCACCCAGGTGATGTATCACAATAGAGCAGTGACTCTTCAAAGAAGTTACAGGCAGGTTGCAAGCAGCGTTTTCACTTTCTGAAACTCTTCTGTAGGGATGACTTTCTCGCATCATGGCACTCACTGCTTAAGACGTATTTTTTGTCATTTCAGAGGCTTCAAAGCTTCCAAGCAGAGCGGGAGGGGGTGGGAGGGTGGGGGGTGTTGGGAGTGAAACTGAAGCGGCGATGGAGTCGAAGGAGGAGGAAAAAAGTAAGCAGAGCGTTGCTGCCTTTTAAGTCCTAAATTGACTTTCTGAGAGGAAGTGGGATTTATGGGGAATAAGGGGAATAAGGGGTTATAAATAGAGAGGTGGGGGGGTAGGGGGGGGGGGCGCTCAGGAATAAAACGCTCAATTTGAGAGGCAGGATTTGTGTCACAAATGTAATTACGGCTGTCCAGCTTGCAGCCTGATAGAATTAAGCTCCTTGCCAGTGCACTGCCGCCGCACTATGCAGGGAAACTGTGTGTCTGAGCGCGTGGGCGGGTGTGTATTTACCACTAAATGAGAGAATTTTGTTCCAACCCTTAAATAAAAGAAGAAGAAGAAAGTCATGATACTGACTACGTGAGATAGCGGCGAGCGTGTCCTTGACCGCCACAGATGAAATGAGCACAATTTCTTTTTTTGTGTGCATGCGTGGGGCTGCGAGTTGCACTCATTCCATGCATGTCAGGCTGTTGAGGCTGGAGGTAAATGAATAATGAGGGTTTAATAGGATGGATGAGCGGGGGAGAGGTGGCTATCATCGCCAGCTCGATCCAATGGAGGGTGAAATCAGCGTTTATCACATATCGCTGCCCGCTGTGCCAGCAGATGCTCTCACGGATCCGTTCACATCATGTCAGCCTGATTGCCACTGATTCAAGCTGGTGCACACATTTGACAAACAGCCTAACAGCCAAAAAAAAGGAGGAAAAAAAAAAAAAAAAAAAGAGGGCCAGGATGACAGTCAGTGCCCTTCACAGCTGCAGCACCCCTCCGCCCAAGATCAAGAGGTAATGTCACGTCTTCGCTTGGCATCACTTTTCGCTCACTTTGTCAGCGAGCAGCAAACTTCTGCTTTTTCTTCACGATGAACTTTCTCGGCAGAGATGATGTTTAATGAAGGGTGGGATCATCAGTGGAGAGGATGAGTAATCATCATTAGATTACTCAGAAACAAACTCAAGTTAAAAAAAAAAAAACAGTAAAAAAGAAAAAAAAAGGGGGCAATTTACAACTTGCACTTCAATAGAAAACATCCAATTATAGAACCAAATCTTTAAAAAAGGACTTTAAACAGTTTTGGAACAACAAAGTGGTCTGAATCTCTGGCCGCCATCTCCAGAAGCAACCCGACGGCCTTCGTAATTTGCCTCAACAAAGTTTGCATCGTTCCTCCCAATGCCTGTGTGCAAAGCAGCTAATTTTCCCAGAAACGTGTGTGCGCTGCTTTTCTTATTCAAGTCATTTAACTTTGATCAGCGGGAACTGGGAACTTGCTGCCTACAACAATCCACTTCCCTTTTATTTCAGCCCGTATCCTTTACTTAGTTGAGTGGATAAAAAAAGAAAAAGCCCAAAAAACAAAACCTGGTGTGCTTTTGCTTTCAACAATCAAACACGAGCTGTTGCTGCTGGAGGACATTTGAATCAATTTGAACCTCTCGCACGATTCCCATCACTCTGCGGCACTGGCGATTCGCACGTCCTTGAGGTTCAGAGGATGTGTCAGCAAGTTTTCTTGATTTTTGTTTTTTTTAAAGGTTTGTTTGAATGATTCCGCGTTGGGTTTCTGACATTTGATGTGTGACGATTCCTGCCTACCGCACTTAAATGAACCACAAAACTAACAGTTGAAAAAAAATGTATCTGAAAAACAAAGCTGATATCATTAAAAGTGATGACCATAACATAAACCTAATCTACAGTGTGATTAAATTATCCAGGATGTTTTTCAGGGGAAGAATGTCAATTACACTGTTATAAAAGAAGCCTTTAAACAGTCATTTACGGTGGCAACAACGTTTGCTGTAAACATTACTTATTCATCTCGGGATTAACGAGTGACTCCTTTGAAATGCGGTACGAGAACATCCTTAAAGACGAAAAAACTAAACAAAAAAGGGAGCTGAAACAAAGAACCTGCCAATTACCTCTGCGTAATGGTGCTTGCATTCCCCCCTAAACGCATAAACACTCCAAAGTGTCCACAAACAATATCCACTCATAAAAGCCCACGCCTGCATGCAAGCTGTAGGTGCTTACACACCAACACACGCATGCAAATATCCACCTGCGCGCATTTCTAACCCGCACGCATCCAAATGCGATGTGTATTATTGTGACTCTGCAGAGGCTGACTGCTGTTGTGTCTGTATTGAACAGACAGCAGTGAAGACTTTGCCTGGAACGTAGCCTCGGGGTCCCGCTGTGCTGACAGGCCCTGAAAGGACTAACACTGCTCCATCACGCTGCTTTGTACTTTAAAAAAAAAGGTATTTTAAAAGTGAGCGTGACACACCTGCAACCATCATTACATATTGATACAGTTTGTTCAAAAATTTGATGTCATGGAGGTCAAATCATTATCAGTAAAGGTAGGTTTTTTTTGTTTTGTACAAATAAATACAAAATGTTAATTGCAGCTTTTTCACAGAGTTGGGTAGTTGGAATAAAAGTGATCGGCACAAAACTCTTAATTATTCGCTCAATGAATTCAAGAATAAATGAACTTGAAAATTTCTAAATTACAGGCTGTGCAGTGAGTATTCCACACACACAATGCTGAAGCCTTGTCGCTCTGTCTTACCTACAGCACTGTGCCAAACCCCTCATTTCTTTATTTTTTGTTAGGAAAATGGGAAATAAGTGCAG